TGCTGGGGAGAAGGACACAGTAGCATTTAAAGGGGCAATAACCTGTCCTCCTGTGGTAATGATGAAGTGGAGCGAACGGAATAAGCGGGAACAAAAACTGAAGGTCGGTTATGGCGGCGCCCATGCACAGCTGCCTGAAAGCGTCTATACACCTTTTTCGTTTGCTTTCATCCCTAGTCACGTGGTCGACATCTCCGGTATGGGCAACAACAACAAAAAAAGTATAAACATTTTCAACTTTCAAATAGTTAAAAAAGAAATTATAGAGGTGAGACAAAACGAGAATGGGTGACAGTTACGCTTACTTACTGAATGCGTTCTACGGCCCTGGCGAGGGCAAAACAATGTTTTCGCACATACCGGAAGTGACGACATTCAAGGTGGCGGTTCCCCTGAAAGAAAGCCTGCAAAGCCTACGAGACGCTCTTGAGACTCGAGTTCTGTCGAAGCGAGCTTCGACTGTTTTGATTGGCTGTAGATGGGTAGAGGAGGAACAAGTAAAGAGACAGAGCGCGTGTGATGGGTCCCTGCCCGATTCGATGGGCTACGATGGCACCCGAGTAAACCCAGCCTTAGACAACATTTCGTGCCTAGAAAGGCGGCTCAGCTTGCCTTCTTCGTGCGCTTACCATATAGCGCATAGTGTTTTTTGCACATAACGGATGTGCAAAAACATTACGGGAATATACAGTTATACACGCTTTTTTTTTTAACGACCTATACTGGCTGGTATTCATCGAACATAAATATTAAATGTGCTTTTACTGAAACTGTATCCTCTACTTACGCGCAGTGAATATCCCTGGTTTCTCGAAGATAACAGGAAACAAATTTCGCACGTCATGAACACCGTGCGATTTTCCGTTCATGTTTCCCACATGTGTTCCACATCAAGGCCTGTTCACACATGCAGCGGAGCGCTACAAGCATAGCGCTAACCTCGCGCTAAGCGCGTGCTGACGGCAGCGTTCACCAGCTTTGTATCGCACCGTCAAAACTGTTGCTCATGGCAGACAATAAGTAGCTGACGGCACGTGAGGAGCGCTACATCAGCGCTTCGCTGCATGTGAGAACCGGCCTTAAAGGAGAAACACGCAAATGACGTCCAACAGAAAGACGGGAGGCTAAGCCGAAAGAAAGCCGTCATTCTTCAAAAGACTCGCAGCTGGCGAAGACGTCAGAAATACCGACAAGGGAAAAACACGCGTTGAAATGAGATGCCAAAAAGTGTGGTAAGTTATAAAAAGCCACAAATTTGGACAAACGTTATTATAAAAAAAAAATAAGGAAAATCACAAAGAACAACGAGTCGTTCAGTTTCTGTTCACGTATCTTTCGATATCGTGAAACAAGCTGAATGTAATTATCTTGCAGCCCCGTAAAGTACCAATGTCTTAAAAAAGAAAAAGGAGTCTTATCCGAGTTGGCGAGAACTGTCGCTCAATATACATTCCCCTTGAATGCGACACCCCGCCAAAAACGACTTAAGACTCGAACATAATTCGATATATATATATATATCAAAAAAACATTTAGTTCCCGAGTGTTTAGATGAGCAAAGAAATGCTTTAATCAAAGTCACGAAGCCGACGGACTCCGTTTCATTCACCGCACACGCTTCGCCTAGCAGGTTCCGGTCGCACCTCTTTTTTTTTTTTCTATCTTTTTTTTTTTTTTTTTTTTTTTTACAGTAGCAGCGAACTTTGCGACGCTTGCGCGAGGCAACGTCTGCAGAAACTCAAGACGGGTGACGCAATAAAGGCGATAGCGCAACCCCTACTCCTCTTTGTCGACCGCGTTCTTGCAATAAAAACCTGTCGCGGAATGCTTTCTCCGCCTACTGAGATCTCTAACCTCGACGGCCCCGGCGAGCAAGCAAAGAAACATTCCCCCAACACCTATTTCGCTTTCGGAACGACACCTCAGATCGGATCCTCCCAGAAAGGCGCATCGAGACCGAACTAGGAGTTGTAGGTTCAGCAGGAGGCATCAGCCAAAATGATACCATCGGCTGAATTGAAAGCTCCGCCATAATGGGAAAAAGTCCGACCGGATTGATTCAAAGCAAACTGTGGCTTCAGCTTACAGAAAAGTGTTACTGGAGTTGTGGTATTTGGTGTATGGTCTAAGACTCTAAGCTCTGCCCCCAGGAGTTGTGCGTAGCACCATGGTAGGAACCAGCGCAGACGCGTCGGTGTATACAGTTGTTCTCTTGCCGAGTGTTAAGACAAAGTATTTTCTTGCCGAGTGTTAATACAAAGTATCTTGTACAGGCGCTACCACGCCTGTATACTTTGACATTGTCGCGACTGTACTTTGATTGCACTCCACAAAAGTTGAGGGATGAAGTACGTGCTCTGAAGCTTACAATGTTTTGTTAAAGTGATACACTTTGGTCGTCATGAGACGTCTTGGGTGAGATAATAAATTTGGGCCTAATGAGACTTCGGGAGAAATGCAATGCTTAAGGATCACCAACCAGCGACATTGTGATTGCACCTCAGTTAAAGGAAAATGTCGCCAAGTCGCCTGACATAGTCAACCCGGAAAGTTGAACTGAGGTGAAACGTTCTTTGAACTGAATGTTCTGCCAAAGAAGGACGCCCCTTCTTTAACTGAATCATCAGTCTAACCACCATCGCGGTCAAAGTGAGATCACCGACTACATCTCGTACCAACATTGCGGCAACAGAACGAAAGAAAAATACTGCCAGCGAACAACGTTGGGGAAAATGCCAAAATAAAGCACACTGGCCTCTCAAATGCTCGCTGAAACCACCAACACGCGCGTGTTGTGACTGCAGTATACAAACTCGTGGAAACAAAAAACTGAAAGTATTTCTGCCACAGCTCTTCCAACTATTCTGATAAATCGCGAATAATACGTCCTCGTCTAAACTTGGTCTTCTAACATATTCTTTGTTTTAGCCAAGCATTTACCAACACGCCCCTTACGAATATAAGCGCGCTCTCTTATACATCAAATTGGAGAGCTAAACAAAACTTTTATGATTTAGAACAGATACAAATTATATAAGCCGTACATACGATCATATTTCACTATCTTATATATATTCTTATACAATATGTTCCATTTTAATTCTAACGGAGTTTCGTTTCAATTACGCCACTATCTCGGTAGCGTGTCCTTGGTGGGTGTGCTGACGATACAAGTGATTTTTTTTTTATTGGGCTAAAAACGTGACATTAGGTAAATTAATATTTCAATAAGTATTCCATTTTCGCTAATTATTTTAACTGATCTGGCCTATAATAATAATTGTCACGAACACTACAATTGCAGCATGACCCTTAAACCCGATTATTAAAAGGCTTGTTCGCAAATTTTAGTTAATTCGCCAACTTACCATGAAGGTTATCCCCTCAACTAACGTCCGCCGATCTCCATTAATACATGGTGCAGACAGCACTCTTCTAACTTTTACCCCCCATTTAAAAATCCAATCAAATGTGTTCCAGATTCATGGAAGAAATAACTAGGACAAGAGATGTACATCACGCTAACATCCAGACATAACACACCTCGACAAAACGTAAAAAGGCACAAAGGTAGATCCAAACAAGCAGAACGAAGGCAGTGTGATTGATGAGATTTCAGACCGCACGCCGTAGGCCAAACACCACAGCGCGTTACGTGACCGGCGCTGGATTGCAATGCGGCCAAACGTACGGTGCAACATCCGGTAGTAGTAAGGGCCGCGTGCGCTGCGATTTGCATACAACGGCGTTAACAAGAAGCCGCTGACAGATGCAGAAACACGCAAACGATGGAAGGGCTTGCCGAGCGGCCGGCTATAGAGTCGCCGACAGTTTAAGAAACAAGGGGCATGACAACTCCCGAGCATAATCTCAATGCTCCGCAATCAATCGAGTTACGACATTAGCCGATAAGATCATACTTGGACTAGCCCTGCTTTTATCTAGCTGTGACTCTAACTAAACGCTAACCGTACAGACCGGGCCGCCCGCCGTGGCCATCCTAATTAAACAATTAAACGAGCGAATGATCTACTAACGCGAACGACCACGCCCAGAGTAAGGGTATGTTTACGCCGTAAAGTTAATAGGACCTGAGCAGTCGGGTGTCTCATCGAACAGCCTCCACGAGGAATAGGGTTAATTTTTTCAAGGCCATCGGCCGCCCTGGGGCGAAACAATGATAGCAGACGGTGTTGCCTCGGCCGGTTTTTCAAAAACAGTGCCCTATTCCAGGGTGGATGGCATGATGACGATGGAAATTTAAGGCCGAAATTAGTCTAGTTTTGATGAATAAAAAATAATGAAAGAAAAAAATGCTCCGGCGACGCGTGCGATCATGCAATTACCCTCTAGTCGACCCGTGGGAATGTGGGTCTTGCGACTCTGGTCATTGCTACGGGAATGGACGACACAGGACGAGAGAGATAACTTCTATATATATATATATATATATATATATATATATATATATATATATATAGCAGCCATCTTATCGGTGCGATTCAAACATCTCAAAATTTGACTGAAGCCAAGATACCCGATTTACACAGATCTGCAACTCTCACTGGCAATTGGGGAAAAAAAATTAATGTTTATGCGGCATTATGCGTTATGAGCACATGCAATGTACAAGTAAAGCGAGTGTCGGAGTCTTGCTAGCTTACAACTAACAAGTTCGTAAACTCAAGATCGTGAAGGTAGTACACAGTAATCTCTTTGAACCAGACTGTACAGGTTGTTTACGTGCGCACGCCGCTACAAACAGTGCTCCCAGAGAGGTCCAAACAACCACCAATCAGTGGAAATGACATTGCGTATCCTCGTGTACTTAAGTCCTTAAATAACGCTGTAAAAGGACTGGAGGAAAGGAAAAGAAATCGAAGCCGTACAACTACTATGCGTGAACATCTATGGGTAGAGAGCGTGTCGCCCTCCCACTTGTTGCAGACGAAACGCTACAACACAAGCATACTCCCGTCAGAAATAAGTGAACGACTTACAGAGCCGAAGAATCATGACGCCGTCAGTATCCGAACGGCGACACAACACCTGTTGCACGCAATCCACGACGAGACGAGGGTAAGAACAAAAAAAACAAACGAAGCCACCGCTGTTTCGCTTCACCGGCTGAGAGCTCAAACTTTGAACAAAAATACAACGAAGCACCACAGGCGAACAGGAGTCGACGACACGGTCCCTCGGACACGACACTTGAAGCGACGATCGCGCGATAAACCCGCCACGGATTAGAAAACACTTCTTGAAAAGCGGTGTGGGCACGACGACAACAAAAATTCCACGAGGACTCTCCCAGCCGACGCGAAGCACACCGCCACCACCGCGCGCGTTGCAAGTCGACTGTCCTCCACGCAGGCGGGAGCGAAAGTGTTGTCAGGTGGCGCTCCAAGCGGCGAGAGAGTGAAGCTACACACACAAAAACAAAAAAGCGAATAGAGAGACGGAGCACCTATTTCCGGTCGAGCCTACTGAGGTCGCCGTAGGGGGGCGCGGTTGACGCTATCTTCGTCTCCGCACTCCTCCGCTCGCTCGCTTCTGGCTCGCTTGCGTAACTCTGTGAGAAGCAAACTCCTTCATTAATTCGGACGTGAGATGGCGTCCCCCTCTTCGTAACGTGAAGGGGGGAGCTGCCTCATTCTCGCGATAGGGGAATCGAGCTTGGCTTTTTTGTTCGCGATATTTGTTAGTGATCTTCATTTGGGATTCCGCGCACGGACTTATATTAGAGACGTGGAGGGAGATTTAAATAAGAAAAACGAGAGCAGCGACGCCGGTCTGATCCTGACTGGTTGTGATGCTTCGCTGGGTCGTCTCATGTAGCCTAGAGATCGAGGAATCATAGCACGTTCGTGCATTACACTAATTAAGGATCGTGGGATTTCATTAATTATACTACTCTTCTGGCGGAATCTCATTTCTGTCACTCATGAATGCGTGCGGAGACGGTAAACGCTTATGGCAACCACCGCCCTCTCCGACTGTACTCCCGGAGACGTTGAGACGGCAGGGCACCTCCGTCGCTGGCCCGGTCTTCAGTACTCGCCCGATCACTGCCTTCCGCCGTGCTTTGGCTGCGCGTGCACGCTCGATGCTCACGAGACAGCCGAGGCGTTATCGAAGGTAAGGAGCTAGGAGTCGACCTCTTTTCCGTTCTCATCCTTCCGGTTTTATCGGTATTATGTAGAGTCGCCGGTGTTATGGAAGTTAGAGCCGACGCAACATACTTTTTTTTTTTTCATATTTCCTTATATTCTTGTAACAGATTTAAGAGAACTGAATATTTCGCGTCTGTAGATATTAGGCTTATATGAAGACTAACCCGGACCTTAAATATCAGTAATCCATTATCGCAAGAATAAAATGAAGGAAAAATAAGGTAATAAAAAATATATACAATACAAATTGCGAATGGGCTGCCAGCCTTTATTACTTCCGCACACTCGCCTTTAGGAAGTGCGATAGATCACACCTACAGAAATAAAAAGACCCGCCTCAGAAAGCAAAAAAAAAAAAAAAAAAGATAAAGAGATACTATGGGCTTTCGTAACAATACCTCCCACACTTTTTAATACCACACCCAGATTTAAGTCCACATTGCGCAGCATTTCCACTTAATGTATAACCCTCTTGGCTTTGTAGACAAAGAAACAAAAACAATCTTAGAGAAGTCCACGAGATATTTTACAGTCCACTCTACTTAATGTAGACGGTCGGTCGGCAAGCATAACTCGTTACAATGATCACAGTGCTCCACCGCGAACAGATAACGTCACAGAATATTGCGCACGTAGTTCGGAAGAGTCGGCCGTTTATTAAGGTAGGTATAGGGTGTGCCATATAAAGCGGGAACTAAGTGGGAGCAATAACACTTTATTGTCGAGTTCTTATTCGCTACGCTATTTATCTTTTCTTTTTCTTCTTTTTTTCTTTCTCGAAAGCGGACGGGAGAGAACTCACGCAGCTATTTATAACGCCCCAACGTGGAACTCGTGATGTATAAATTAAAGAGCGAGATGTGTCTATCTGCAAGGGCGGACTTTAAGTATAATGCGCCGTGACGATATATGACCGATTTTGTTCGTTTTGTTTTGAATTTTATATCACGAACCGTTTCCTTTTTCCCTCGTTTTTGTATTGATTGGTAGCGCCCTGCAACGTAGCGTACGTATCTCTATATATACATATATATATCCCATACTCTTTTACTGTGCTTTCTTATTGTTGTTGAGGGTCACGACACAAGTTTCGAAATGCGGATATGGACGATGTGCAAGGATGGGGACCCACGAACCCAGTTTCATGCTGTAGCCTCTTTCTCAGAGGTGCTAAATTTGAAAGGGAGCAATCGAAATGACTATAATACATATAGTTTTCCTTCAGTGAGATAGAGAACGAACTGGGTTCTCATGACACCTTAGTTCTCCATTTCCTACATACGTATCGAGGGAGGGGGGATAAATGGTGATAGGGAGTTTTTTTGTTTTGTTTTTTTGTTTGGCGGGTGTGCGTCAAATCGGTCAGGCTTCCACAACTCTGCTTGGAGATTATTATTTATTATTTTATTTATTTTTATTTATACTACCGGATACTGCCAACTGGGACAGGGCTCGAGGAATGAAAGGGTGTTGATTAACAAGAAGGCCCGCTTTAAATAGAACTTGGCCGCTCGGGAGTTGAACAAAGTTAAACGCCCCTGAATGCAAAAAAAAAAAAAAAAAAAAAAAAAAAGGACAGACCGAGAGTTTTTGGTAAACTGTGAGCGAAATGTTCGGGCATCTTTCGGGTTACCCAGCTTTTTCTATGCAGTGTGTTCTTGTGTTTCTTCTTTTTTGCTTTAATTGTATTGATACTTCTTTTTTTTATTTTTTTTTTATTTACCGATTACCTATATATATTTTTTTTTCTTGAGTTTTCAGGCGCACGTTGAATTTTAGACTACTAAGATTAGGTCCGAGGCTTGTGGATTGGTCACCAATGTTCTTTAACTGAGATTAATGATTTCTATGGCAGATCGAGCTAGATTGAGATGAATGGAAGGCAAATAGCTCCAAACGTGTTTGTTCCGTCTCAGTAGACTAGAGCAGCATTGTGGAAGGCATAGACGCGATGCATCTGGCTTCAGCGAGTGTTTTCCTCACCCTCTCAGCGGCCGTTGTCAACCGTCTCAGTGGCTATAGCTTGACCCTCTCCGAAATGCAGTGCCATCTGGTGCTTCAAATGGCAGTTTAATTTTTGTCGTACTAACGGCCCTGCAGTCTGCAGTCCGCAGTATTTTATAGCGCACCGTCACGTCAACGGCATACGAGAATGTGCTGCTCACTGCACACTTCTTTCTCGATCTCTTTCAGTGTCGATGGCCACAAAAATGCAACCAGTCAGAACGAAAGCGCCAACCGACGCAGACGCCTTGGTAAAGCAGTATACATCGAGGGACTTGGAAGCCGATTGTGTGCCACCGACAGATTGACCAGGCCCGGGTTAGAGATGAACACTTACGCAGCTCTTGCACTCAATTGCACTCAGACAAAGGCAACAAGCTTTAGGTCTACCCACTAATCCTTCCAACCAGAGCTCGGCGTTCTGACGTCACCTCTCGCCTCCTCCTCTCCCTCACTTTCTCGGAGCATGGGTCTAGACATTTTCCACGGGGGCGCCGCCATCTTGATTTGTCGTCACTTCCAGTATGGGCGACGACAAAATAATAAAACGTTTCAAAATGTAACTAGCAAAAAAATAGAGGGGAGCCAAAACGAGAATGTGTGACGGTTAGGTTTATGTCCTAAATGCCTTCTACTGGCGTGGCGACGGCAAAACAATGTTTTCGCCCATACTGGAAGTGACGACATTTCAAGATGGCGGCGCCCTTGTGGAAAAGGTCTATAGAATCATCAGCTTCGGATCATCTTCGACTTCTTCCTTCATAAGTGAACAGAAGGCCGCCGTTAGTATGCCCAGTGACTACTATCATAGAGTTATTACAATAAACACTAGAGGCTCAGCTGGCGCTAGTGTCTATGGCACTTTCGGTTGCAAATTGAAGCAGACAGCAACCAATCTACTTTTCCAGTCTTCCTGTGTATTCCTGTGGGAAATCGTACGTGACATTTTTTTCTTCGCCAGGGAATAATACAAATCAGCGCAATTTCTTTACTCGTAACGAGTATTATTTAGCTTTATTCACATTAGAAAAGTATAACTTATTTAATTTTTTTTAATTACTGAACAATGCTTCATTACCGAAAATTGAGGCTCAAGCCCATCTTGTTCACCATGATATGTCAATACAAGCTATCAAATGTCAATAGAAGCTATCAATCAATCATTAGAAACTATCAATACAAGCTATCAATGATTGTTCATGCACAGTTTGTTACTAATCTAGTACGTGTTTTTCGTTCCGTATATCCATGTTTCGTTCTTGTCGTCTGTTTTGATTGTTTGATTTGGCATATATTAGCATCCTTTTGGTGTTTTCTCAGGCTGATTCACTTTGTGTGCTTTATAGCATTGACTATATACGTAAATACGTGTCCTTCAATAGCAGTCTGCAACGCCAACACGTATTACACGTGCGTAATGGGCTATTTTAGCTCAATGTTCGACGCCATGGATTCTAAAGAAAAATGCTCTAACTGACACATATTGTTGTACATCCGATTGTAAAACGTTCCAAACGCTTTATTCAGTCATAACACTACGCAATATTTGGTCTAATAATCGGCGCAAAAAGAAAACGCATTTGCATTTCCCATAGTAATGCATTACCGGATGTAAAGTTTAGACTGGTTGCTGTCTGCTTCAAAATGCAACAGCAAACTAGCGCCACCTGAGCCTCTAGCGTTTATGGTAATAACTCTATGCCTCCTACATAGTTACACACTGCCTGTCGGCTACGAGCAGCGGCAATGGGAAGGGAGAGCGGGATCGGTGGCCGAGTGGGCCTGCGCACACCAGCTCGGAGCACGTGGAGCGAAAGCTCGCACTGCGGAACCCAGGGATCCTAAGTTCAATCCCTACACCCTGCCTGTTCAGCTGCAAGTCGCTCTTTAGTGTGGCAACCCACGGAAGCTTAGGCAGCAAGAAGTTAGGACGCCTGGGACACCATGTCGACAGCGACACTCGCGTTCGCTCGTACTTTTCGCTAGCACGACCAACCACCAGGATCGCGACAGGCAACACCATGACACCTCGGTTTCTGTGACGTCATTTGTTGCACCTTCGGGACCACTTTTGATGTATGGGCGGGATAGGACGCTAAACACACCAGTGTCGAAGGCGCGTTCCGGGCACAATAGCCCAAGCCCCAGACTGCCGCCGAAGCAGACGACCAGGCGTTCGCCGCGTTCGAGCTGCACAAGCACCGCAGGGCTTGTGC